AAAAAAGAAGAAGAAGAAGAAGAAGAAGAAGAAGAAGAAGAAGAAGAAGAAGAAGAAGAAGAAGAAGAAGAAGAAGAAGAAGAAGAAGAAGAAGCGGCAGCTTGTTTCCTGTTAGGATCTTTCCAGCCATGAGCATGGAGTGTGTGTGGGGACTCTTAACAGCTAGTTGTTTTTTTTGTGTGTATTGGCTGGTTGCAGGCACAAATTTCATTGTCTGAGGGCTTGAGAGGATTGCATGTGTATGCAATGACTTTGGCAGCTGGAAAGCCTAGCTTATTTTGGCTTGGGCTGCTTTGGTACCAGCAACCTAATATTTTTGCCTAAGTATGTTTGCTTCTGTGAGTTTGCGAGCAGGTGAGTTCCCCTTTGGTGTTCACATGATCTTCCACGACTTTGTTCACTTCCTTTGTGCCCTCCACTGCAGGGCACTTTGTCAATTCTCTCGGTATCCATCACCTCCTCTGTGCTTGCCCGAGGTGTACAGTGGCATGGAAGGCTCTCTGTCCAGGCAGGTTGTCCTCGGTTCACTTTCTGTTTTGTAGCGTTTGCTCCTGAAGGTCTTACTTTTCTTTAGATTCAAACCCTAGAACAAGGGAGGAGTGGGGCTGAGGGAGTCTCCTTCCCCTACGACTTTCTGCAGGGATCTGAACTGACATCTGCTGTTTCCTTATCAATCTAAGCAGTGGTTTCCAGAAAGGTTAGAATCACTCCTGTGTGGGAGGGAGACCCAAGAGGAGAGAATTTACTCAACTGTATTGTAGGGATATTGACAAAGCCTGGGGTCATTTCTGCTGAGGTTGATTGATATTCTGGACTTATCCTGGGCTGAATAAATAAGGATGTGTCACATGCTACATAGATGGTCATATGGTGTTCATTGATATTTGTCCAGTTAGGGGTGGACACATTTGATGTGACCTTGGCTCCTCTGCTGGCCATTAGCCTGGCTTGTCCTGCTGCTCATCAAGCTTCCAAATGTTGCTGGACTCAGACCTTGGCACAGGACACCAGCCGTCCATGGAACTATACATATTTTGCTTTTAGGTTACATGACCAGATTGTAGTTTTAGCATTGGCTCTTTTCCTTCACTGTCTGTGCAGAGCTAACTGTTATCACTGTTACCAAGACACAGCTGCAGTTTTCCTCAGTCACCTCACAGTTAGCTCCTCATCTGTGGGGTGGGCTGTGGGTCATCTTCCTAAAGTAGGGGAGTTGTGTTTTTTTTTTTTTTTTTGAAATTGTTCTTATTCAAAAATTTAGTTTGTTACAATTAGCTGCATTAGCCGGGCGTTGGTGGCGCATGCCTTTAATTTCAGCACTCGGGAGGCAGAGCCAGGTGGATCTCTGTGAGTTCGAGGCCAGCCTGGGCTACCAAGTGAGCTCCAGGAAAGGCGCAAAGCTACACAGAGAAACCCTGTCTTGAAAAAACCAAAAAAAAAAAAAAAAAAAAAAAAATTATCTGCATTAAAAGGCAGACTTGGTGAGTGGGCAGAGGTGCCTTGCCAGTGTTTCTCATTGTGTGTGGCTTCATGGGAGCCAGCCAGAACTTGTCAAGACAGTCAAAGCTTTGCCTTTTTTTCTTTCTGGCCATCTTGTGGAACTCATGTCCAACTGCAAGCCCTTTTATTTTCCTTCCTAAGTGTTCCAGACCAGCCTTTTGGCCCTAACATTCCTGTCTTTACTATAAACACTTTTTTTGGCTTCCTGGTTTTGTACCTCTTTGTTTTTAGTGGATCCAGCACCTGCTTCTCTATCTCTAACGCCTATCTGTTTGCTCTTCCTTTGTTTTTTCAATATATAAAGGATAAATAGAAATTAATGTGTTTCTCTTGTGGCAAATTTTGTCTTGTTTTTTTCATAACCCTCCCTGTGTGTTTGTGTGTCTGTATGTGTGCTTGTGTGTGTGTGTGTGTCCGTGTGTATATGGTGTGTATTCTTGTTTGAGCACATGCCACAGCACAAGTGTAGAAGTCAGAGGAAAACCTTGGCTCCTGGTCCTTCTTCTTTTTTTTTTGTTTGAGGCAGGGTCTCTTACTGTTTGCACTGCATCTGCAAAGCTAGCTGGCCCACAAGCTTCCAGGCATTCTCTTGTCTCTGCCTGCCATCCACTGCTGTGGCACCGGGTTTACAGAAATACGGTACCACATCTGTCTTTACTTGGTATGATGGCTATTCTTGGTTGTCAATGTCATCATATCTGGAATTAACTAAAACCCAAGCATCTAGGTCTACTTGTGAGGGATGCTTTGTAATTAAATTATTTGAAGTTGGAAGACCCACACTAAATCTGGGTCTATTGGGGTGGGAAGATCCACCTTTACTCTGGGCCACACCTTCTGCTAACAGCCTATATAAAGGACATGGAAGAAGGAAATTAATTGTTCTTTGCCTGGTGGTCCTCACTCTCACTGGCAAGTTCCGTCCTTTACTGGCATTAGAGCTGAGTTCCTCAGGATTCCAGTCTATACTGAAAACCAGATGAGACTTTCAGCCTCATGGACTGAGCAACTGCTTGATTCTTGCTCTTTCCATTGGTAGACAGCTATTATTGAACTAGTTGGACCACAATCTGTAAACTACTCTAATCTATATCTCTATCTATGTATCTATGTATCTATCATCTATCTATCTATCTATCTATCTATCTATCTATCTATCTATCTATCCATCTACCTACCTATTTATCATGTATGTATGTATATATGTATCTCTCTGTCTATCTATCTATCATCTATCTATCTATCTATCTATCTATCTATCTATCTATCTATCTATCTATCTCTCATCTATGTACCTATTTATGTATCTAATCATTTCTGTTCCTCTAGAGAACCTAATTAATATACTTGAGATCAGGGGATTTGAACTCAGGTCTTCATATATGCAGAGCAAATGTTTTGCCCATTAACCTCCCCAGCCCTACAACATCTTTTTTTAAATGAAAGATCCCTACTTCATTGATGAACTTCTCATTATTCATACAATGAATTGTGTTAATCTTCTTAATGTAATGATGCTATATTCTCTTTATTCTCAGTCAATTGCCTTAGAATTACTCTATTCTTTTTCTGGCATTTCCCCAAATTCCTTCACAGTGTTCAATGAAAGAATATTTTGTTTCCTTGGTTGCATCATTTTGCCTTGCATTTCCATACTTCTTGATCCTCTTTGATACATCTGGTACATCTGGTGTGCCAGTATATTACCAATTGGGCAGGAGAATTAATTAGGAAAATATTTTCCCCTGAAGGTTGTTGCAGTAACGCCCACGTTACCACCACCCATTCACCATGTCCAAGTGAGGGGCTGTGGATTAAAAAACAGGGGACAAGAGACAGTGAGTCATTTGCCACAGCAGAATACCGAATGCCGAATGCCTTTTATTGAAAGAGGGAGGAAACCTTGAATACAGGCTTACAGCACAATGGAGGAACCCCAGAGGGCAGAAGTTCACTACCCAAGGTTCTACATTCTTGCATCTAAGCTGTTTACACCAAATGCAGGATACATGAATGCTGTGGGACGGTCTGTATGTCAAATTGCTCTGATTGGTCCATAAATAAAACACTGGTTGGCAAGTGGCCAGGCAGGAAGTAGGTGGGACAAGGAGAGAGGAGAATT